CATAAGTTTCACTTCATTATGTCTTTCACAATTTTAATTACATTTTAATCAAAGATTTATACAGTCTATTTTATGACTTTCAATTTAATTATTCCCATTAAAATGTGTTATTCTTTACTTTTTTGCAAAGTTCACCAATTCATCTTGCAGTATAACTGTTTATGCTGCATTACATTTCATATTCCAATCTTTTAACAGCCAATGCTCATTTAAGGGCTGCCAAAGCATTTCCCATCCCAAAGAAGATAGCTTATTTGTATCAAAAGCCATTAAAATCCAGGAAATGTATACAGCACAGTCAGGAGGCCTCACTCATTTTTGAGAATAATCCAGATCTATATAAAAACATGCAAAATGCACTACGCATCAGTAATAAACTTCTAATTTTGATTTAAGATTTTTTGACATTTGCATATCACTTGGAAGACTAGGGTTCCTAAAAATAAAAAGCTAATGGCAAAGCCCTACACAGTGTAAAGACATGATACCCTTACCCTAGGGCTTTTTTTTTTAGCCTCCCAAACGAAGTAATAGAAAATGATATCCCTGTTACAGAATTCTGTAGGATGGTTTAAAAACTTTACAGAAAGATTAAACCTCCACTAAAGTGCGTGGACTTCTAGAATCTAGACTTCAATAACACCAGAGAAATGTTCTGTCCAATGCAGTGCAAATGCAATGCCAGGATAACTTTGCTTTGCTTATGCCAGCTTCATAAACTAGCAGGTGTACACCAGCAAAAACACAATTATGTCTGGGAAACTGACTCTGTTTTAGAGCTCAGAACACTTTAATTACGTCAATAAAAAATCTTACTTCTAACTGACATAGTCAAACTGGTATCAATTTTATGTGTAGATTAGGCCTAATTTCTATACAACCCTACCGGGTTCGTTTCTGCTACATTCTGTTCCTTAATGTCATTTCCTATTTACTGTTATTTCCAAATATCATAACTATTTACACATAGTATGGCTGCATTCTCTTATACACAATTATTTCAGTTGATTCTTAAAGGGTTCCTAATTTACTTACTTTCTATAAGAATTCAAGCGTTGCCAATCAGGAAGTAGCTCTTTTCAAAAAAATCTACACAGCTTACCTTTGATAAAGGTACATGACAAACAAAGACAGTGAGCTATTTGAATCACAAGATGCCTGCAAGGCCAATACATATTCCAACATAAACTATAACTATGGCAGCAGTCTCCTCCAGTCTAAAGCACCATAATAATGGTTATTGATCAACTTTGTCTTGATTATTTTAATCAGCAGCTCCACCCAAAAACTATTCAGCTGTCAAGATGTGGTCTAGAACAATAACCTGAACTTTCATAAGATACCCAAGAAAAGAAATTATGGAATTTGACATTCTGCCATCCAAAGCTACATCATTTCACAGGAATGTGATGTATACTGCATAGTGCATACGTAGCAGGATCCTAACAATAATAAATTAACTAAAGTAGATTGTACACTTAGTAATCTTCTTCATACCAATTGTGTTTTGACTCAGGCGAGTTCCAGCACAGGTCCCAAGCTAACTTTTGCAAAAACCATGCTCAAGAAGATGTGTTGAAAATGTGGGATGGGTCTAATGGAACACTGTTTCCAGCATTCCTCTGGAAATGTTACAGCAGTGCTGTAAAATACCATAAGCATTCATGGCTGTGCGCTCAAAGTCACAAATGAAAATCTTTGCATTTCGTAAGATCACCAATGCTGCAGTGAGTCACTACACAAGGATGAACATGGTACACTGAGAGTCACAGAAAGCATTGTGTTTCTTCATCTTAACATTTTTAGGATTTTTTGTTTATTTGTTTTAAAGACTTCAGCTTGTTGTACGTCATGGGTGTTGTTTAGTTTCATTTTCTTTTGATGGGAATTACTGCAAGAGCTCTCAAAAAATTGCTAACAATCTAATACCAAGTTTCTAAGCCATCCTAGAAACATATGTTATTGCAAACTGGTAATTTTAACAGTTTGGAATTTCTTGAATGTCAGCATCATCCTGTGGAACTACTAATGTGACTAGGCTTGGCTGCTACAAACTCTTAAGCCTTGATATCTTTCAGCTGCTTGGTCATTAGTAGCTCAGAACAATCCTGCCAAAACTTGATGATTAACACAAAGTTCTCAGAGCATGTGCAGATTTATTATGTTAGAAGACAACAAGATAAACATAAAGATGATGCCCTTACTTATCAAATTACAAAAAGAAATGGCTAGTTACAACAGATGCTGAACACGTGATGAAAAGTGTTGTATGTACTCACCACATATCAAAATCAATGAGTGCTGAAGACAACCAGAACTTTCTAGGAGATACTCAGTACTTCAGAAAATCTGCTTCCAGATCTACTATATCTTCAAACCATATCCTCCTAAAAATTCTCTTAACCAACTCCAAATGGGATTTTTTCTTAATGTTCTTTCCCCTCCCCCCAGATGATCCATCTTTTTGCAGTGAACTGAAAACAGACAATTCAGCAAGTCAATATGAACTGCAAATTTCACTTCAAAAGTATGAGGATGTTATAGCATTAAAAATAAAACATTTCATTTCTGTTTTTAAAAAGGAAAGAAAAAAAGAAAAAAGCACAGACCAAATATATAGTAGGAACACCATGTTAAGTGACTGGTTTGGAGGAAATGTGAGAAGGCTAAAAGTTCATTCTGCACATTTCTCAAAGTCATACAGGTCCTTCGGTTATCCCCTCTAGAGGCAGGCCAGTAGCATTATCTGCTGTAGGTCTCTCTTCCTTCTTCATTGAATTCTGATCTAGTAGGCTGACATAAGATTTATGACAAGCTGTATTACCCAAAGGAGGGTAGTGTTGTCTGTAGCAAATATAAGCAAAAATGAGGCCAATGATCCCTCCAGCGAAAGCATCTAGGTAAGAAAAGCAACAAAACCAGAAGCATGTTACCATAGAAAGGACAGCCGGCAGTGAAAACTGTAAATAAAAGGCATATAATCAACCTGGAAGTGTTTAACCCAGAAAAGGTGAACTACAAAGTCTCATAAACAATTTGGAGTCAAAAACTACAATCATTTAGGATACATACATTCAGCATTTTAGTTTGGGCCATCTCCAACATTTTGAATATCCAAAGGTAAATAATTGGCTATGTTTCAGAAGGAGATGACCTAGGGAAATAGAGAGGCTTCCAAGGGGTATCAAACATTCATTCATCCAACAACCCACATACCTTTCTCTAGTTTGCCACAATTTGCAATGGCCACCACCAGATTTAGGAACAATAGAGCTGAACTGTGCTGTTCAGGGGGTCTAGAGCTCTCCAGCTGACCACAGACAGCTCAAACTGCTGTACCGGCTGCAGTCTGCTTCTCATATCTGCCTGGGAGCCCCCCAGGAAAGACAGCAGCTAGGATGCCACCACATGGTAAATTGATCCATTCTAATGTTGGCTGCTCTGTATTCTGGATGGCATTCTCCAGTGCAGACAGAGGATGCACGCTTCTGTCAGGAAGTGGGCCAATGTAGCTGGAACAACTCATTTCACTTGCAGCCAGCTCATGAGAGGCCCATGAGAAAGGCAGCCGTCAGGATAAATTGCAAGCTAGGTGAACTGTTCCTAAGAGCACCTGAAGGGTCAGACTGAGTATGTCCGTTAGGTGATTTAACACCTTTTGAATAACTTTCTTTGATGCTATTTGCTATCCCATACTATAAAATAGGATAGGATAGGACAGGACAGGACAGGACAGGATAGAAGCAATTGTATGAGATAGAGTTCCCTAAGCTTTCCTGGCTGCAGAACATCATCAATATTAGAGAGAGACATCATGTAAAGCCGTCCTCTATTTTCTAGCTCTTCAAGCTTTGGTATAGGAAGGATTGCAGAAGCGAGTTGGACATTGACAGAAAGATGGAACAGGGGAATCTTGACAATACTGCTTACCATGAAGAATCTAATTCCACTTGCCAGCTTTCCCTTGTTATTTTAAATGACACTAATCAATGTCTGAGTTACAGCTCCTGCACTTTCTCACACAAAGAACATATCCTTATCTGCAGCTGTGAGGCTGAAACTTGTACCTGAAACTCAGTATTGAAGAATGTAGTCCTTGGCAGAGCAACATTACTGAGTATTCCCTACAAAGTGAGCACATTTGTCAAAACTGCAGAGGAGTGAGATTCTGAACAGCCTTTTAACAGAAATAGCTATGGCAAGAAAACCTGAGAAATTTAAGACTGAGACGGATATTTTTAAGAAATGTGATTATTTATCAGAGTTGTCTGTCAGGGAAGAGGACTAGACTGAACGACCTAGGAGAACCCTTCCAATCCTACGTTCTCTTCCTACATGCAAAAAGGACATAATAAATCTATGACAAGCGAGAGTTAATAGAAAGAGGCTCAAGTGAGATTTTAAAAGCTGCTTGTGTGTACACAGTAATGTCAAGCAGACAGAAACTTATCCTACCCCTACTGGTAGCTGACTAGATATTGGCCAGTTACAGTTCAAAAGTTAGAGTCTGCTACTTAGCTGTCCTTTGCTGCTACGCTTTCCTCTGTTAGTTTGAAGCTGACTCACAACAGCCCTCTCTGGGAGTAGGATGAAGGAGTTTGCAGCTGTCAGTAGACAAATATTGAACAGCCTTAGGAGTACAAAATCCACTGCAATTTTTAGCAGAGGTGCTTTCTGAAAATTCAGTCTTTGAGGTCACTTTTTTCCTGATTGCAGTTGCTTGATAGAAGGGGGATGTTACTGCCAGCCCCATACATCTAAAATAGATTTCTGAATTGTTGCTCAGAGGAACTCCTAACTCTCACAGTGGACCTCCATGGATAACATAGGAGGGCACGCAGTCGAGTAAAGCACCTCAAGCAGCCAAGGTTAGGTAGGTTAGATGCTATGAAAACGCAGAACTGTGAAAGTTTACTTGTGGAAACAGTCATATAGTCCCTGCCCTGCTACTCAGATCTTAAAATTGGCTTTCATTGTTAAACTTAAAAGGACTATTCAAAACAAAATTAAATGTGACACTATGATGTGCAAGCAGCTTTTTTTTTCTCTCAGTTAGAGCTGAATCTAGTTCTCCTTGAAGTTAGTGAGAGATAGAGAGGGTCTCAGCCAGCGCACACTGGATCACTCAGCAGTTACCGTTCCCTATGCTCCAGCGCGCACCATGAGGCTAGAACCCTGGAAGTGTGCCTTGACAAACAGCAGCTCTCTCTCCAAGTGAAATGCATCATTCTCTCATTCAAAGCATGCTGAATTAATAAGAGGCATTTATTAAAATGTCTTTCAGTGCATGTAAACACAAACACTTCCTCTTCTTAACCGGAGCAAACTACATTTATTGTAGGTCAAAGATACTGCACTTTGCAGTTTTACATTAATCCGTTAACTATTTCACATTTGTGTCTCCTGTAGTTGCGAAGCTCATTGTTTACGTGCCTTACACGCCACACTGGCTCAGTGGAGCACTAGTGCAGGAGGTGACAAACGAGAGGTGGATGTATATTTTATGCATCATTACTAAATTCTATGCGGTGCTGTCTCTCATACTCCTACGCCACAAACATTATAAGCCAACTCTACAGTACAGAACAAGTATATGGGACAACACAAATGATATCATGCAGTTCCAGACAATGTCATGAACTAATGAGGAAGACATCGTTTGCATATGTTGCAACTTTCTCCTCTGAAAACATTCCTGGAGCGTTTCAAGATATTTTTGTTTCTAGATTTTTTCTTACTGCATTATACTAGCATTATTCACATCTAAACATTACAAACACTTCCTATATTAGTTGCTAGGTGAATACAGCAACACATTTTTAAGTTAGCACTTCTAAATGAACCTGGGATCAAATATTTGTTATATAGCTATTTTTGAAGGTCCGCCATAAGAGATTTTAAGGCTTCACTATTGCTTTAAATTACAGTAAAATTCCTTAGAATAATAATTCTGTCACATTTGTCAATTCCTAAATATAAGTGGAGGTATAATTCCAGCTAATTAACAGAGAACACTTATAAAATTCAAACTATTTAATTTGAAATAAATTCTAGCATCTTGAACTCAAGAGGTCTACAAGGAAAATAAGCTGATTTGTATTTACATACATAGAAAGGTATATACATCTATATAAATGACTTCTAAATATCTGGACTAAGTTTAGAAACAGCCTTTTATTTACCGAAGATGATTTGCTGGATTTTTTTTGTCCTTTTCCAATCTAACAGTTAAAAACAAAGTACTAGATATGGGATACCCAACTCTCCTGATTTTACGAGCACAGTAAGAAAATACTGATATGGCTTAGAGCCTAAACGTCTCGTCACAAACACTGGAGAGCTGAAAGAAAAGACAAAAAGTACATGAAAGAACAATGTTAACTGGGGTAGTGTTCAAACACAACCTACTGCTGTTGGCTTTAGCAACCCTTTGTGGTTTCTTCGTTCCACAGCTGAGAACAGAGATTATACCATCAATCCCAGACTGGTATACAAGCTGTGTTTGAACTATCAAGAGCAACATAAATTTGAAGAGCTATCACTTAGCTCCTAGAATAGTCTGGTACATTCAGTAGCTCCACCGACTTCACTAGAGCTACTCTAACAAACATCCACTGAAGATCTAGCCAACTGTGCGATTATAGTTTATTCTCTCCCTGTTATGTTTAAGTGCTGTGCAGACAGCAAATACCTAGAAGTCACAAGCACTCTCTCATAGCTTCACATTGCAACGGCTGGCAGACACATGCACACCGTAAAAATAAAGACGCTGATCTGAGGGCATGAACAAGTTTAAGGTTGCGTGCTGTACTGTCTCACTACTTTTATTTTCCCCTATCATAAGGACTCCCAGAGAAACCAGGTCTGAACACACACTGCGAATCATGTCAGGTCCTTTCCACTCCACTCAATACACTCAGCTTCAATATAGTTAACATCTTGATGCAAATGTCTCTTGCCATTCTTTGAGACTGACTTACAGATCATGCATCCCTATTTATATTCTGTCTCAGGCCGCGTAGATATGAGTCCTTGGGAATCTCACAATCATTTCTATATAACTTAGGCTACGATGGATAAATCAGAGCCTTCTTCTTCTGGTACAGCTAGGTTAGTAGCACCCGATGAGATGAAATTTGTTCTAGCTGAAATCCCTATTAGATATGCAACCTAAGAAAAAAATAAGTCAATACAGGTCTGAATTCACTTTGTTGAAATATTGGGCTGAAGGAAACGTTCTCAATGCCAAACTTGAATATTACATCCAAGTTTTCAGGTCAGAGTCGTATCACTTTTTTTCCAGCTCAATGTGTGGGCAGAATGACCGATTTAATTACTGCCACAATGTAGAGATCTACACAGATCTGTCCTGGACCCAGGTTAATGTTTTGATTAATGATATTTCGCTCACTGGGCAATGGAATAGGAGTTGCATTATAAAGTGTACAGATGAAGGAAAGTAAAAAGAAAAAGAAAAGTTACAAGAATAACTGTTTAGACAGAAATACTACAGGATTTATATTTGAGTTATGGTGGCTCATTAACTATAATGTGATGCTACCACAGAAATGAACAACTCTGCTCTGCGATGTTTTAAAAGGAGTGAAGTATGCATGACATGGTAGGTAACTATTCCTTTCTACCTGGCAACTGTAAAGCCTCAATTGAAGAACTAGGTCCAGTTTTGGAAAGACCTTAAGAGAAATCCAGATGAACTGGAAAAAGCACAAAGAAGAGAAGTAACAATACACACAATTTTTAGAGAACGTTACCAATAAGATAAGATTTAAGGAATACACGGAACTTGAGGGGCTAATATGAGGATATAGTACAATGTTATGAAGAGAATGGTGCTCAATTATTCAGTGTTGCCTTCGGGAAGGACATGCAGAAAATCAGCTTAGCTGGCAGTAAAGACAATTTAGGTTAGATACGAATAAAAAATTTCTACCTGTGAATGTAGTTAAATACTGAGTTAGATTTTATAGGGAGGCTGTGGAATCTTTTTTTTTTTTTTAAGAACTGACTAGAAAAACACCTATGTTCTTTCAGACTCGCTATTTACCTTTAATTCTTTCACACAAAATTTCCACTTAGTTAGTAAACTAATATTTTCAGAACTAGAAACCTATATGGAGAACTAAAAACTTAAAAACAGTCAACGTTTTCAGGATCCATAATATAACGCACTACAATTCACTAATACCAACACTAAGACTTTGAACATTACATCTTCCTGCCAAACCAAAGCGAGCTCATAAAATACTCATAATATTAATGTGCTGAGCCCATTCCATGGCTTTTTAATGTAAGGTTACTCCATTTCATCTCTCATCTACAGTACACTAAGTCCTGTACATTATATTGATGGTCCTTGTTCATTCCCAATAGTATAGTTAAGATTCTATTACAAAGTCACCATAAGTAATTTAAAACAATTGGCTGACTCTGCTGAGCATAAAAGACAAGGCCTGAGCATCTGTGCTGTATTTTACAGGGTGAACTAGTCTGTCCCCTGAGAATGAAGTTCTTCCAGGCAAAAGCTAAGGTCACCTGCAAGATAATGTCTGCCAGCACTGTACTTAGCTTGGGAAGAACCATCTGAGTTTTCAGCTCCATCTCCTTAAACTTTAAAGACAAAAATATGAGGAGCTGTAATGGATGCAATCACAACCCCTTAGGTGTAGTTTTCTTCTATCATATATAAAATGCACCATAATTATCTGCCTCACAGCACATGTTTCAGTCCATAAATAATTCGCACTCTTGGCAAGATATACTACACACTGCAAACATGCATTCAAAAAACTAGAGAGTAAACTCATACACTCCCATTCATTCATTCAGCTCTGCTGCACACACACACACACACACACACACACACAGACACGCATACTTCAGATGAGCCTAGCCTTACACACTGAGCGCAAGATTCATAACATTGCCTTCTGTTCTGCCTACCAGCTTGACCAGGCAAGCATCTCATGTTCAGCAGCTTTGTGCTGGATGCTCTCTCCACCTCGGTGTGTCTACGAGCAAGAGCAGTACCGAGCCCTATAACAAGACAAGGACTCTGCAGGAAACCAGGAGACTTTTTAAAGAACATGTCAAGGCTAATGATTTGCGGTTAAGTGGCTAAGGGAGAAGAGGATGCTGTTTGAGTACAAAAAACCAGAGTGAGCAAAAGCATGTAACAGGATGAGCCTTGCTCTGGCATATGGACTGCTTGTGTATAAGACAAGAAAGTGCTCAGCAGGACAGAGGTACAGTATACTTAGTTGAAACTAGGTAGAGGAACCAAGGCTGGTGTAGAAGGACATGTCTTAGAAAATATGTCAGGTAAACCACATTTAACCAGTATGAACCAGATAATGGAAGGGAGCACTCAGAACCTTGAGGGGAGCAGAACTCGCAAGGTCAGCTGTACCAAGGTAATCATATCAGCAATACCACATAGAGCCAAGATGACCTCGGTAACAGTACCAGAAATACTAACTTTGGGTACAGATGTAGCAAAATGTGGACAAATGGGGAAAAAGTAATTATGGGCAGGTTTTTTCCTCAGGAGGGGATTTGGGTGAAGACAGGGAGGTACAAAGGCAGTGAAAAGGAGGATCAAGAAATCAGAAAAGGAATAATAAGCTTAAGTGAAGAACAGCTGGCAGTATTTTCCAACCGTAGTGGATGCCTACAGGCAGTAGTGAGGCTGACTTGTGAACAGGGGAGGGAAACCACCTAGACAACCCATCAGACTCCTCATCAGGCCCATGACTCAGTGGCAGAGAGTAAAGACTTAACAGAGTGAAGAGCGTTACAACTGTAACTTAGTAACAGTAGTGCGTAATTAATTAACAGTATAGCCTCTTACATCAGTTACACCTCAAGCTTGCATTTTAAAGGATTCTAAGACAATGGTCCCCCTGTGACAAATGCAGCTGGTCTAACTGGTGTTACACAATCCAGAAGTGAATATGGTGCACACGGGGAAGAGAGGATGCTGTCGCATATTCCTGAGACTGCAGCGTCAGTGCTAGCTCATGGAACCTCACTGAGAAACCTTTTAAAAGTTATCTGCTCTTATTATAGCTTTGTATTATAATGCTGCCTCATTTATATGAGAATGTTCATTTAATATGGAAGATCCAAAGCTTCCACTAGGAGCACCAAGAAGTAACTCAAGAAGAGATTAGGACTAAACATCCTTCAGTCTAACTATGCTTCACCCTTCAGAGTACCTCCCATTATTCATTATATGTAAACATTTAAGGATGCAGGTTCACCCAAGGACACGTTTTGTACAACTCAGCTACACATCAAATGCTGCTGCCACAGTCTTATGAACCATCTCCCATTCGGTCAATAATTGTCATCCTTCTCACAAAGGTGAGGTTTACAATTATGTAGCGTGTTTCTTCAGCTTTGTGATGTTTTTTAGGATCAAGAAGACACTGCATGCTGCTTCAATAAACTACTGATCAATATTGAATACATTCAGCATTTATTCATTTACCTTACAGGTACCTGGAAAAAAAGAAAGCAAGGAGCAGGACACAGGCCAGACTTACTCTGATGGGCCAGATTCAGCTCACAAAAGATAGCTGTGGCACTCCAGCTCAATGCAATGTATCAGGAAACTTGCTGAAAAAGCTCAGTGATCTCTTTTCAGAAACCGTCCAAAAAGCTTTGATGTACATTGGTATAAAAAATACAGACCTGTACAGGACCAATACTGTATTTGCAGACACTGAAACCCTCAGCATCAACCCAGCAGCAAGGAAAATCTGCCCTGACATGACATAATGTTGTAACTCACGTGAACTCAACGCATAAAGTTAACCAAAGAAATACAATGCTAATTAAAAAAACAAAAAACAAAAAACAAAAAAAAACAAAGCAAAACAGTAAAAAGGTATTTCCATGGCTCACCTTGCCAGTGATGTTTGTAATCACACATACGTGACAGGGCAATCATCATGGCACAATAGAGAGGCAGAATTGCTGCACAAAGCCGCCAGCTCTTCCCTCGGCCATTTTCAGTGAAGCAATGCAACTTTCCAGCTAAGTAGAAGGTGGTAAAGCCAAGGCCTGAAAATGCAACTGATAAAGAAAAACACAGAATTACTGTGCTTGGTCATTAATGCCCTGTACGATGCCCTTTGGTTTGGACAGCAGGATCCCTCTACTGCAGAGAAGTCTTGATCTTTACAGGATGGCACTAGGAGCTAAGTTAAACTGAAAAGCCCCATATACAAAAATTGATGGAGTTTCATAACTTGAATGATGATTCCCATGTAACCAGATAAATAATGCCGTTATAACTTACTACTTTAAAAGGATATAACATACTTTCTAGGCAGTTTTTTGCTTGTTTATTAGTTTTTTAAAGCAATCATGAACTTATGAACCTTAAAAATACCCACAATACTCTCGAGTCTGATTGGGAAAAGGTAGCCTCCCACAAGATACATGATGTGCATATGTTCTCTACATCAGTGGCATTAACTGTGTAGCAATAGAAGCAATCCAGGCAATTACACACTGCAAACCATATTCTTTTCCTCCTCACAGATACTCAACTGTCATCTGTCATGTCTGCAAATACTGTGGTACCTCTAGACTTTCTGTCTTTTCAATAGGAATGGAATTTTCTCTTTCTCCTTTAGCAATTTACTTTTTTCCTCTGGGGGAGAAAAGTGGCTGCAGAAAGCATGCCTGATATTCTTTTCACGTTAAAATAATCATTTAGGCAAATTTTTAACTTGAGGCACATAAGGCTTTTCAAGCTTAACCTTCAGCATGTCTTTCCTGATTTGAGACCTATTCTAGAAACTTCGTATTCAAAACAGAAAAGGATTCAGTGTATATTACTATTGCATTGTATTTAAACGATATTTTTAGATTCCATTAACCTGTTTCCGCTGCACCTGCCGAACTGGCAGTGACGACAGAACTCAGATACTAACTTTCTATACTGAATCTTTTTCCACTTGCAGCTGTTCACATTCCGGAAACATTTTTAAATATGCATTTTTTTTGACATTTAAACACTTATTTTCCTGTAGGAAAATTAGTGCTGATGCTGCACAGGTAGCTCTGTGAAACACATCTTCCATTTGCTCCACAAAAATCATATTCAGTTCTCCTGCAGACTGCACAGAGACCAAAATGGAACATAAAAATGTAAACTACAGTTAGAAAAAACTACAAATATTTATCCAAGCATTTGAAATCCTTTATCTGACTATCTTTATACTCTTTACCTTTGTGATACCCAGCCATCACTATGACAGGTAATTGGTAACATTCATAAAAACAAAATTCTCTGGTCCTGTTGTCAGTTCATCTAATGGTAAAATTGCCATTAGTGCAGGGTCAGATATGCAACTTTTTTCTAATCTCCTGCTAAGGCCTTTCAAATGCCTTTCTCCTCATCTTCCCAAACAGTAAATGTGATAAAGTTCTGCAGATGAATCTATGCAATGGTCAATTTTAGCTGAAAGCACAGTGGAGTAGTTTCATAAGTTTACACTACATAGCTATTTGAATGCAACTGCTGAAGACCTGCATTTCACCTTTACATGCACATGCATTGCATAGTTCTTTTGACTAGATATGGCAGAGCAAGACAGAAGGGTGATTAGGCATCAAACTGGTATGCCAAATATTTTGTTTCCTAGTAGCTTTTCAAATAGTGATGATCCTGTATTTTTCCTGTCAGAAGATGGTGGAAGGCAAACTTCAAAACATAGGTGGCTCAAACAAACCTGAATAAAGAGTTCTTGCAAACTGGGTTACTTCTCTTGCGTACAGATATTTGAGAGTCATATAATAAACTTGCTTTGCCTTTCAGACTACCTAACTGACAACAAGAAATCATTTCTTCTGCATTTCTATGTCACGGTGTTCTTGAAATTAGTATATTTTCCTAAGAGTAGCATCTCTTACATAGAGACAGGCTGTGAGATGCACACTCAGAGCACCAGGCTATAACCACCACGGAAAAAACTCCTGATATGTCAGTGTATGATCCTGACGTCATATTTCAGAAACTTGGAATATCTCCCCTCTCCCCCTTTCAAACATTCTTTCCAACTCTCAGGACTTGGCATAGACTAATGAACTTAGAACAACAAATTAACGTTTCTTCCTCCTTCTAGTGGAGATTTTCTCGTACGCCTCTCGTATTTGTTAGGTTAGCCACTGGCATATAACAAAAGATGACACTGTTCTCTTTTGCACTCTTCATGTTGCACTGGATAATTTTTGTGCCCTTGTCTTTTGTATCAAAGATATGCAGGTCATTATAGGGTTATTTTGTGGCCAACAACACACACTTCTGGGAGAGCAGATGTAGAGTTGACGTTCTGCAGACCTTTGGAAGTAGAAACAGACATAAACTTATCTAAGATCGCAGGGGCAGGACTTGTTTGTATTGTCCCATCTTCCAGTTGTGAAACGGGAGTGAGCGAAATCAAGTTTGTCACAGATGCTCAATATCAAGCCCAATCCTAAACTGAATCCTTTCCATACAGCCCCTCAAAAATTAGCTTCATTTTCACATTTTCATCCCACATATCTTTTTATTTTTTAGATCTTAACAAAAAGATAAACTGAAATCCGACCACAGTATTTCTAGACAGAAGCACAAAGTGCTTTGTGGCTTCATTCTCACAAGACCTACAACGTCCAGCCATCTAGAGCATTTAAAGAAGAATTTAAATCTGATATTGACTCTCCTAAATCGACTTTCTAAACTGTCAGGTGTAATCTTCCTGTGCTAATATGCCTTCATGTTGTGGATTTACATTGCCCAATCCATAGTGTTGATCTTCTGTTCACACATAGTCTTATTTAGAATTGCTAGAATTTGATAAGCAATTCCAATCCAGAACCTTTCCCCCCACCAAAAGCCAGAAAAACAGAAAACAGAATTTGCATATCATTCTCAACAGCAACATGTCTTATCAGAGCAAAAACATGCAAGAGAGATTTATGAGCTTCTTACAGGATGAGATCCTAAAAAGAAAAACAGCAACTGAAATACATTCCTATGTTAATGTTCATAGCTTTATATTTTATTAATGCTGTGGGAATATAAAACACCTCTGATATACAGAGAAACAGATTTCATCATGAATACATCAATATTTGCATGTTATAAGAAATGTCGGAAAACCTTTTCTTCATGCACCTGTAAGTGCTTGTTCCTTAAATTCTTTAATTTAAAACTTCAAAATTGAGCTTTCATATTCACAATTCAAGCACAGCAAAGCTGAACTGCAAAAGCAGTGAAATATATATAACACAGCAGAAGCCAGTGAAATACTGTACTGCATTGCATTGCAATGACCTAATTTAGCTCCTAATTAACAAAAGACAAACTTTTTCTTAAGATAACATCATCACTTGTTTTTGAGGTGGGTTTTAGCTTGAGATCTTCCTTGGCATTTATCACTTACGAAAAATTCTGTCTTCACTGGAGGAATCTCAAACAACTGACTAGAAAGACCAGCAGTTAAAGAATTTGCTTTAATGCAGCTCTCTTAGTAAGGTAAAATCTTTTAAACACAAAGAGACCTTCAAACTGAACTGAAGTTACTTATTATGGAATTGAGCAGATAAAGTGCACAAATCATGTGAAATACTTACTGCATATTCAAATTGCTGACTGGAAACCAATTTTTTTCTCTACACTAATCTACATTATAAACATGCTGTCTGTCACAATGGATATTTTAAAGAGGTAAAACAGCATTCGAGGATACCCTTAGACAAGGCAGCTATGTACATTTTTACATGTTCATGATTTCTGGACTTCTTGCTAAGTGTCTATGGAAGTCATTAAAAACTTTATGTTTAATTATAAATATCCATTTTGCGGACTTTGACTTTTTTTAAGACTTACCTGCATGGTGATACATAACCAAATGGTAAAACAATTAGAGATGTAACTGGACAAATTCCATAAAATAAAATATAGGTGTCTTACAGAGTTATAAATTATTAGCCCTGACATGCTAAAAGTAAGATGGGAGATAGAAGTATAGAGTAAAACCAATTAACATCACTGGACGAAGTTCAAGATGTATTTGACTTCATAGAACATAAGCAAGTCAACATTTCAGTCCAGGAATTTTGCCTTTTATCTTCAGGTCTGCTCTGTTCCCTCAAGGCTACAGCGTAACCTGCAGATCCATATCCGTATTGTCCCAGAGATGGATGGCAGAAGCCTACGCATAAAGGATCTCTTATTCCAACGTATGGTGGACAGCAGCAGCAGATCTAGCTACATGGGCCTTAGATCAAACCTTATGATATTAAAAAAAAAGAATTACTTCTCCATAATTTGCATTTTTTCAGAATCTACAACTTTTCCAAGAGAAGGTGCTCATGAAAGAATATAGAGAGTTCAGCATATGCAGGAGACACAAAGGCAGCTTTTGCCTTAGGTGGTTGGTGTGTACCTGTACACTGAAGGTCAGGAAGAAAAGACTGACTCATAAGCACTATTCCAGGGGGACTTACATCTGATGCGTGATGGAAAAGTAATATAATGATGCTCTAGCTTTTGGCTATGAAACTAATCTTCTGCAGAGTGGCTTTACATTGCAATATTGCAAGACTGATGTTCCTCAGCCTGGACTGTGCACATCCAGAATAGAGCTCTTTGCCCCACGGTCCCAGTGTGTGCCCAACCGGCAGCAGCAAAGAACATCATGTTAACAGCTGAATGCTATGGGATGTGGGAGTACACATTATAAAGGTAACTATATATTCTGAAACTATTTAACCGCTGTGCGCTCCATGTAACCTACTTCTTTGCTTGATGGCTATACTTTGAAAATGTGGTCAGTCAATAACACTAAGAAAAGCAATTCACTCTCTAAGAAAGCCTGGGCCTATAGGTGATATTTACATTCAAGAATCGGTCAATTAGTATAATATATTTGAACAGACTTTTTTTTTCTGCTCAAGTTAGAGTCAATAGCTCCTTGAATCACAGAGAAAACGTGCACGCACACGCACAGGCATGTCACATGTTCTCTCATATATTACATACATAATATATTATGTTACATATGTAGTTAAAACTGCCT